TTCTCTATTTTTACATAATAGTCCCTTCTTCCCATAAAAGGCACTAAGGATCCCCTTTATACACTTTTTGGCAAGTGTACCTCTTGCTAGAGAAGGCTTGTAATTTAGGCTTTGAATGGACCGCCTGCTTTGAGTACAAATACACCTCTTACCAACCTTTTCTGGCCTCTCTCTCTCTCTTTGTGTGTGTGTGTGTGTGTGTGTGTGTGTGTGTGAGAGAGAGAGAGAGAGAGAGAGAGAGAGAAAGAGAGAGAGAGAGAAAAAACAGAAAGGATATATCAGAAGGACCTGGGAAAGTCATAGCTAAAACTGGAACGCACCTTCAAGATCACCTCACTTAGGGGTTTTCAATCAGGATTTAGAGTAGTCTTAAAATACCCTAAGTGTCAAGAAAGGGCTGCTGAATGAAGGTAGGAACAGTTTTTCCTACTCTCAGCCCCTGAGTAGTTCAGTTTTTATCCATTTTTCATACCATTGCCATTTTACATATGAGGCCATAAAGGTGAAATGACTTAACTGGGTGCTATTTTACTACAGCTATTATTGCTTGATAGAAGGAGTGCTGGTGGTGCTGTGGTTAATGCATTGAGCTGCTAACCAAAAGGCTGGTGGTTAGAACCTACTAGCCACTCTGTGGGAGAAAGATGAGGCAGTCTCCTTTCATAATGGTTTACAGCTTTGGAAACCCTGTGGGGCAGTTCTACTCCCTCCTATAGGGCTGCTATGAGTCAGAATCAACTCGATGGCAGTGAATTGGTTTCAGTTTTTTTTTGATTGCTGGATAGCATTTTCACTCATATTTTTGATGTTCAGTCACATTCCCCACCATATTTTTCATTACTTTTTCTACTTTTTTTTTTAATTCTTCAAACCCGTTGACCACCCTACCCCTTCTTTACACCCACAGATACCCTGTTTTCCTAAAAGGCTTGAGGCTTCTCAGGTATGTTCTTTCATCTTTGTTCTTCTCTATTTCAATGTTTTTCTTCCATGTTCTTTCTCTTCTCCCCTAGTCTCTGAGGAATGTGTTTCTCTCCACCTTTCTAATGCTAACCCTTCTATGCACGCTTGTAATTCCACTCCTTTCTTTTTTTGCCAAGATCTTATCCCAGTTTAGGCTTACGTATATTTTTCTATATCCAGATATTTTCTCTTTACCAACAAACATATTTGTCTCTTCCCATCATGCAAACAACACAAAAATAACAAAGAACGAGCAGCTCCTTAATTTTGTTCTTCACTCCCCATTGCTTTCTAAGCTGAATGTGAACACCTTACCCAAACATTCAAGCTATACTTCTCACCACTCATCACTTCTCTTACATATACCTCCTTCACCAATATGCTAATTTTATTTTCTGAATATGTCTGGTACTTTTCTTTACTGGTTCCTTCCTTGGTTTTTCCTGCTCAATCTCTTTTGCCTGGTGAAGTAGTTCAAAGCCCAACAAATACCATGTATTCTATGAAGACTTTCCTGGTTTCCTTCAAGTGGATGTAATCTTGCCCTTATTTAAATACCCACAGCACTGTTTCTGACTTACAAAGCCTCACCTTCTTCCAGCTACTTGACTTGCTCTTTGAGGGTGGGGAGAGTCCTTCTCATTTTTGTGCCCCCTCCCACTGCTTTGTGCCTAGGTGTCTCACCTGCCCAAGGCACATAGCCAGTGGGCACAGCTGGAACTAGAGCCCATTTCTTTTGGTTCTTTGATTAATGACTTTTTGGTTGTTGTTGTTAATAATTAGGTGTCTATATCCTTTATTGTTGTTGTTGTTGTTATGTGCCATCAGTAGGACCCGACTCATAGCGACCCCTCCTTGGGTTTCTGAGGCAGTATCACTACGGAAGTAGATTGCCCCATCTTCCTTCGGAGGAGTGACTGGTGGGTTTGTCTGGTTCCCCAAGAGCCTTTGGTTTCTGGGCTCACTTTTTGCTTTGAATGAAATTGCTTTAACCAAATAAGTCTGCTAATTACCCCTGCAATTGAGCATTTTCATTTTGCAAGCCAACTCCCAACTCTAATGGAGTAGTAGTGATTTTTAAAAATTTTTTATTGTAATTTGGGTGAAAGTTTACAGAACAAATTCACTTTCCATACAGCAGTTCATATACACTTTGTCTCATGACATTGACTGCAATTTCCTACAATGCAACAGCTCTCTTCCCACTTCCTTTCCATAGTTACCTCTTCCATGTGTCTTTCCCTCCATACCCTCCCATCCCCCGAGCTGTCTCCCTGTACATAACCAGCCCTTCTATTCTCACATGATTGATCTCATGGAGTAGTAGTGTTTGCTGGAGTACTGTGCTTCAAACTAGTTCAAACCAGTCTAGTCATGGCCTATAAAGCAAGACTGGAATAGACCTGAATTTTTAAAATTTGAGTGATCCAGTATAACTGGAATGGGAAAAATTACTAGTCAAAGCCCTGGAATGGGAGACTCAGAAAGAGTGCAGTGAACCCTTTCAGGAGCCTAATGCGTGACGCTGGATTATTTATTGCTTGAACTGTGAAGAGCAACACACATTCAAAGTGGTGCAGTCGGCTGCCATCTTTGACCTGGGCACCATTCTTTGTGACCCAGCCAGTCAAAAGATTTGGTTGCTATGTAAGCTGCATGCTGCCCTGGTTTTCTAAGATGAATATTAAGTTTCTATCAGGGCTTTGACCTATAATTTTTCCTGTTCTGCATTCTGGTTCACTCACATTTTAAAAATTTGGATCTGTTCTGGTGTCACATTGTTGGTTGTGACTGAACTGGGCTGAGTTCAAAGTCCTGGTTGAGAAGGATTCTGAGACCTAACAGGGGGTGAGTATTGTCACAGATTGAGTTGTGTCCTCTCAAAATTTGTGTCACTTGGCTGGGCCATGATTCTCAGTGATTTAGAAGTTATGCAATGATGTAATGTGGCCCACCCCATAATGTGATAAGCTGATTAGGTGTAAGAAGTTTAAGATTACGGGTGGGTTGCAACACATTTAGTCCCATCACAGCCCTGATCCCATGTAAGGGGAACTTCCCTGGCATGTGGCTTACAACACCTTTTCTCTTACAAGAGATAAAAGGAGAGAGAAAGGAGCAGAGAGGGGGGACATACTACCACCAAGAAAGAGGAGCCAGGAGCAGAGCACATCCTTTGGGCCTGTGGTACCTGTACTGGCATCCTCCCAGGAATAAGAGACACCCAGAGAGAAAGTCTACCCCTAGAGCCAGCACTCTGAACTCAGACTTCTAGCATCCTAAACTGTAAGAGAATAAATTTCTGTTTGTTAAAGCCATTAATTTGTGGTATTTCTGTTATAGCAGCACTAGATAACTAAGCCAGACATCATACTTGATTAGCAATGCCTTCAATGGGAATAGGAGGGGAGTGTTATAGCATGGGCAGTTGCTGCTATTCTGTTGGAACATAGTTTGAATTGTGGAAAGAGCTGTGCTCTTTCACCTAGTTGCCTTTGGGAAGTGTCTTGACACTTGCCTTGATGAGGTAGGTAGTCACATTTCAAGTTCTTTACGTGAACCAAGCTGGCCAAAGGTGGGAGTGTTGACCAAACTAACAGCGTTGGCCTCTCTGGAACTTTGATAACTGAGTTAGAACATAACTACTTTATTCCAGTTCCAAATCCCAGCCTTTTTGCACATAGAAGCTGTTGTGTCTTTTTCTCAGCCCTTCGGGGGATCTGAGGCCAGGATATCTGATGCCTTCTTCTCTCTGTCTCTCTGTCTCTCTCTTTTTTTTGCTATTCCTGGCACCTTCCTTCCTAGCACATTTAAAGCTTGTGGGAAATGTACTCATCCTCCTAGAAGGAGGGAAAATAGGAGATATGGGGAGACTGGGTGCAAATACTTCTCTGGCCTAGCCACAGAGCACACAGAACACTTTTCCTCCTCGCTTCAGGGTTTCATAGGACTCAAACAAGGGCCCCTGTGATCTTCCTGGGCCCCATTCCAGTCAAAGGCAGGGTTTACAGTCCCCTCTCCTCATTTCTCCTCCCAGTCCCCTCTCTAGTTGAGACTGTAGCCCTGCTGGGATTCGAGAATATTACAGGCAGTCCCTGGGTTGTAAATAAGATTTATTCCTAAGTGTGTCTTCAAGTCTAAGTAAGTCTTTAAGTTGAATTTGTAGCTAAGTTAGAATAGGTGCATATAGTTTTTATTTAGCCTTACTTTAGTTCAAGAAAAGCCTTGACGCCTTTTCACTGATTTGAAAGCTGTACATGTGGCCAGTGAAGGTGATCGTGCTGAAGAATTTGTTTTGAGTAGAAATTGGTTCAATCATTTCAAAGTGAGAGCAAATTTACAAAATATAAAAGGGCAAGCAGGAGTTGTAGGTAAGTCAATTGTTCATAACCCAGAATCTGCCTATAATTTTCTTTTGCTCAAGGGGGGAAAAAAAAAAAAAAAAAAAAAAGAGGATTCCCAACCCACATTCTTTAACCCCAAATCAGGGCCAAAGTCCTCAGCATGCACTGGGATTGTCAGACCAGTGGGACCTTGAGTGTGAGACTTATCCTACACTGAATTCTGAGCCCCTTTAATGCAGATACAAAAGAGCTAAACAAAGAAACAGGTACAAGCAGTTCAGTCTTGCAGACAGGGGCTGAAACTTCTGCTCTGTGCCCTCATTCTTGCCCCAAACACTGCAGTCTCTTGCCTGGCCGCAGACCCTCGGTTCTGCTTCTGCTCTCCTTGGCCTGGGTTTTCTTGGTCTGTCCTGGGGAGTCTGTCTTTTTTCACCTTTCATGGGCATCTTTGTAAACATTTCTCCCTCTTGGCTCTGGATTGCGTCTAAGGCACCTCCCACCCAAGCTCAGATGCCATGCTTCTTTCTTTTGATCAATTTCAAAGACACTTCTAGGCTCCCTCCCTGTTCAGGCTGACATTTCTAGCCCCTCCCCAGAGCAACCTGCCTTTGTGGAATAAATACATGTATCTTTTTGCACTGGTCACACTATTTTCCAATACACAAACAATAAGGCTGTTAAAAGCCCACTTACAGTGAATCTCCACAGACCCCCAAGGTCGTCACTCCTCTCGAAGCAGGTGGGCTCCAGTCCTTCCTCCAGACAGCACCTGATGGAGGCCAGGCCACTGACCCCAGCTCCCACAATTGCAACTCGCTTGGCCATGTTCTCCTGTGCAGGGGAGAATGAAGCCGAGCTTTTTATTCACAAGTGAAAAGCCCCACCCCATCCTTGGCTGCTCTAGCAAACCAGAAAAAAGAATTTGGAAGATTAAAGGATTTGCTCAGTTTGAATCCTCTGTAGCTGGCCTGTGGTATGTGAATGTGAGAAGGGAAATGTTCAGGTCACTGGTTTAACCCACACACTCTATGTTCCCACCCCTCACTCAGAGCTGTTGCCAAGTGTTCATACAGTTGTTGAGGCTGTAGCTTCTGGCAGAGTGGCTGAAATTGGACCCTGGACTGGGGTGGACAGTGTTGCATGCTGGACTGTGCTCCTGCAAAGTCTCTCTTCTTTAATCCTAGAATCAATTAGAGCTGCAGACCAGGAAAGGATCAGCTTATCTAACATATACTTTTAATAACAGGCAAAACCAAAGCTCACATTAGTGTGATTTCATTCTACAAGGCTACGCAGCTGCAACTGGTGGGGTGGAGTGGGGACTAGAAGCTTAGACACTTTTGGCCACCACAGGTGCTGCTATGGAGGGGCCCTGGGTAAATCCTAGTCCATGGCATCCTGCCAGGGCTCTGGCTGTGTTGCTGGTACATCTCCCTCCCACCTGTCACCAGGGGATGGTCACCAGCAGAAGAAGAAGGGTGACTGCTGACAAAGGTTCTTGTGGCAAGGAAGGCATAAACAAACATCTCTCCTTTCTCAACTTGGTACTGATTCACCCCCAGGGTACATGGAACAGTCACCATTGGCACAGGTTGGAAAATCATCTGGCATGGGGCTAGTATTAATAACACAGTCTTATAAGATGTGTGAGAGGTGGTTTAGTATATTGGTTAAGCATTCAAGCTCTGGATCCAGGCTGTCTGGGTTCAAGCCCAGCTCTGAGCATTACTACTATGTGAATTTGGGCAAATTATTTGACTGCTTGAACCACCAGCCACTCCTCAGAAAGAAGACTGGGCAATCTACTTCTGTAGAGATATCACCTCGGAAACCAAAGGAGGGGTCCCTATGAGTCGGATTCAACTTGATGGCAGTGAGTTTGTTTGAGTGTGACATAAATCTGTTGTTCTCAAATGGATTCCAACTCATGGTGACCCCATGTGTGTCAGAGTAGAGCTGTACTTCATAGGGTTTTCAATGGTTGTGACCTTTTGGAAAAAGATTACCAGGACTTTCTTCCAAGGCACCTCTGGATAGATTCAAATTGCCATCCTTTCTGTTAGTAGCTGAGTGCTCGATGATTTGCAACACCCAGTGACTGACTGTGAAATAGAAATAGAAATAGAAAAAATAGTAGTAACTTCTTTTCAGGGTTTTGTGAGAATTAAGTGAATAATTTATGTCAAGTGCCTTAGAACAGTGTCTGCTACCCAGTTCATCCTCAATAAATGTAAGCTATTGTAATGGTAAAATTGCTTCCCAAAATTTATTTTCCCTTATCCTTTCACATCAATGAGCCTCTGTCCTTTTGACTCTGATAGCATTCCGAGTCAATAAAAAACCTTAAATTTCCCTGAACATTTGCTATTTCCTTGTTTCACAGATTTGCTTCTCAAAGCTGAATATGCATTTTTTGGTTTTAGGACTGGGGGTCTGAGAGAATGGGTTCACTGAAATATAAGCAGCTCAACTATAGGGACTTCATCTGTTTTTTTGGCTCTGTCCCCAGTATCCAGGGCAATACTTGGAATATAACCTAATAGATGCTCAATGAATATTTCTTGAATGAAATGAAAAGGCTTCTTTCTTCTTAGATATGGTAGGGCTCAGTGCTTCTCTGAAGCCCAGGCTACTGGATATGATTGACTAGGAAAAGGAGAAGTCATGCTCTAGATTCTGATGGAAACTATAGAAGCAACAGGCTTATATAATTTTTCACTCTCTGGGTCCTAAAGTAGTAGAGTGACCCTACAGTCAGAGAGGCAGCTGATGTAATGAAAAAGAAATGTGGGCATCAAGACCAGCCATGTCTGTTACAGATCCTTGCTCTATCATTTACCAGTTTGGTGACACAGGAAAACTGCTTATCCTTTGAAGGCCTCAATTTCCTCATTTGTAAAATGAGATCTCAGTGCTATTCATTTTGTGAGACACAGTACATGAAATTGGACTCAGGACTGGGATGGACAGAGTTTACATTTGCTGCCACCTCCAATCTCTTTTCTCTAATCCTAGAATTGATTAGAGGAAGAGACCAGAAAAGGATCATCCACGAAGAATAGCTTCTTTGATGGGGAAAAATGATTTTAGGAAAAAAAGAGTGGGGAGGGCACATATAAACTTATATTTACATCTGTTTACAGGAGCCTGCTGGCTCTATAAAGATAGATCTAATCATAGAAAGACAGGCACATACTCAGCAGGATGGCAGGAAACAAAGCAGCTTCCTTTCCTTAAGGAAGAGTGAGGAGCCATTTCCAGTAGGTGGATTGAGAAAGAGGATGGGACCCTGTCCCCAGCAGGCTCCACTGAAACCAGAGCAGAGGTCAGCAGTGGGGAGGGGCAGTTCCCCTGGAGAGTGATTAGTAGTGTTCAGCCTGCCATAAGGGCCAAGGGAGATGTCATGGGGCAGAAGGCATGGTGTAGAAAGGACTGGTGTTGTGTATTTTCCTGCCTACAATGTTGTAATTTCAGATGAATAGAGCTGATTGAAAACACTGGATTGGTGCGGTAAGAAAGCTTTGTCTCCTTGAATTATAAGCCCCAACAGAGGCAAGCCTTGACCTGGCTGTTCTGGGAACTAAGTGTGGAGATCTTGAGTAGGGCAGTGAACTGCCTAGTGGAGATCTTGAGTAGGGAAGTGAACTCTAGGCTCACTTTACAGAAGAGGTTATTAGCACTGACTCTTCCTGCATGAGTCTGACATAGTATTGCAAACATCTGCTTTTCAATGTTTGAAATATCAGGTAGAAAAGGACAAAACTGTGGCCAGTGGTAGAACTGAAGAAGTGTCATGGAGGCAAATTTTAGCTCAATATAAGCACTTTCCAGCATTTTACTCTCTAATATTGACTTTTTTAGGTAGAGTATAAAAGCCAAACTCACTACCATTGAGTCGATTCCGACTCATAGCAACTCTTTTGGGTTTCTGAGGTGGTAAATCTTTACAGAAGTAGATTAGCCAGTCTTCCTACCATGGAGTGTCTGGTGGGTTTGAACCACCAACCTTCTGATTAGCAGTCAAATGCCTTACAAATACAAACAAACGCAACCATTGCTATGGAGTTGGATCTGACTCATAGTGGCCCCTCCTTGGGTTTCCAAGGCAGTATCCTATGGAAGTAGATTGCCCAAACTTCCTTCCGAGGAGTGGCTGATAGGTTTGAACCACCAGCCTTTTGGTTAGCTGTCAAATGCCTTAGGCACTGTTGTGTTGTTATATGCCATCGAGTCGGACCCGACTCATAGCGACCCCTCCTTAGGTTTCTGAGGCACTATCACTATGGAAGTAGATTGCCTCATCTTCCTTCTGAGGAGTGGCTGGTGGGTTTGAACCATCAGCCTTCTAGTTAGCAGTCAAGTGCCTTAGCCACTATGCTACCGGAGCTCCTGCCTTAGGCACTACACCACCAGAAATCCTGTTAAATGCCTTAGATTATTATTATTGACGATATTGTAAATAGGAGATTAATAGACCAGGTAGAGAGTGGATGTAAAGGCCCTATAGGGTCTTATCAACTCTGAGATTTAATAATTCATTCTCTGATTAATTCAGGCATCAAACTTTTATTGAGTGGATTCTGTGTTGCTAAGCCCTAGGTGCACTGGACCAACTTCACAAATACTTAAGGTGAAGGACCATTCAGAGCAGAGCACAGATTGGACAACTATTTTAATGATGTGATCAACAGGCATTTATTACTCACAGAATACACAGGACAGGGATGAGAATAACAGCAAATATCATCATGAGCCAAGGTTCCCAGAGGTTAAGCACCTGTCCCAAGGTGAGATGTTGCAATTGCATCCATGTGTATGCCACTTTGCACCATGGGTGAGGAACCCAGGAGCCCCTCTCTCCCAAGGTTAATATACTAGCAACTACAATGATTACATGCCAAACAAGAGAAGGGGAAAAGGGCAACAAAAGGGGAAGCTTCCCTTGTGGGCCCATTACCCCCTACTTGGGGTCCGTGAGCATCTCCTGATCAGCTATTCTAGACTTACTGGCATCAGTGAACATTCCTTCCTCCTTTACCTCACAGGACAGCCGTGGGTTTGGTTTTACTCCACTATATTAGACAATATATGTTTGGGGTCTCTCAGAGGCCAATCATCTTCCCCTAAGTTAAATACTTTGTGTTTATCAATAGCTATTATGTCTGTCAGTAGCTTTAGAGATGGTGTGTATGGGGCGGGGGTGGGGGTGGGGGTGGTGATTATAATACAGCACACCTGTGCAGCCAGAACTAAGGCTATGTATTGGGAGTACAAAAGATGAATAAGGTGCCGTGCTTTCTCTAGAGCAGCTCTCAGAGGTGCTAATTCTGATTTTGGAATGGTAGGAAAGCAACCCAGAGGAGATATTATTTGCTCCAGGTTTTGAAGGATGAATAGGACTTCACAAGGAGCAGAGAGAGTAAGGACTGGAGATGGTCCATGGAGGCATCTGTGACTGCTGGGATCCATGTGAGCTTGCCATTCTCCTGACTCCTAGAGGAGTTTTAGTGCATACCACACAAAAAGGGGAGCTCTGGTAGCATAGTGCCTAATGCACTTGACTGCTAACCAGAAGGCTGGTAGTTCAAACCCACCAGCCATTCCTCAGAAGGAAGGTTGGGCAATCTACTTCCATAGTGATACGGCCTCGGCAATCCAAGGAGGGGTCTCTATGAGTCGGGGCTGACTCGACGGCACATAATAACAACAACATGGTGTAGTGCCTAAGGGATTTGACTGCTAACCAGAGGGCTGGCGGTTCAAACCCACCAGCCACTCTACTTCCATAGTGATATTGCCTGGCAACCCAAGGAGGGGTAGCTATG